CCCCAAAACCCCAAAACCCCAAAACCCCAAAACCCCAAAACCCCAAAACCCCGAAACTTCTAATACTATTGAAAGTAGATAAAGAAACCAGACCCGGATAGGATTTTATGAACGAGATGTATTGAAAGCTATTAACATTCCAAGTGTGAACTTGGGGTTGACCGTAAAATCTGATAGGACTAGCACTCATCGGTTTATATCTTTGTAAACTATTGACACAAAGATAGGTTCCGATTTTCTCGAGCTGAGGAACGGAACACTATCTTTAAAGATAACGAAGAGCGCCTAAAATCAGATTGGTCGGTGTTGGAGATTTAAATTGAAATCCCAGAATGATTCAAGGTATCCTTGCATCTTTCAAAGATCTCAGTAGCTCCATTCATGTAATACTGATCTTCATCTTTGTGAGCATCAGCTTTTTGGTAAAACATGGTGTATAGGTACGAGAGTTCTGGTACTTTAACAAAATAGTCCATTTTTTCATGGGAATATCTGTATAATACATCATGAACTTTTTGGATTTTCGCTCTGAAGAACTTCCTTTGCTTGACTCTGTCCTTCTTCTCGCATTCAAAGAAGCAGTCAACTCCTCTGCTCATCTCCTGTGGGTATAGCATTGCGCCAATGTAGAACAACAAATCAAGTGACTCTGGCTTTACAGGGATGGTATCATGGAATTTTTGGATACAATCCTTTAGGAACTGATGACCTTGCATTTTCCTATTGGAAAAATATCCAGTAACCTCATTGAATTCGTCTTGTAAAACTCTTCTGCATTTCCTCAAGATTGTCTTCAAGATCACATCTTTTCTCTTATTGTACTCGAATTTCTGTTTTCTTGGAGCTTTATAGCAGAAGTCAGGATCTTCTTCTTTCTGAATGCCTGTTTTGGACACTGGCTTAGTCTCTTCAGGATTTGACTTCACCTTCGTGTTTTGGGAATCGCAAGCAGGGGAAGGTGTATTTTCCTTCAGATATAATTGGATGTTCGGAATTCTGATGATTGTATCCGAATCTGAATCTTCCTTGGAGTCAGAGAGGCAGTCACAGTTGTCAGTTGAAAGCCTTCTGGAGCTTGAGTTATCTGACTTTTCGGTGGAGTTGAGTCCTTGTGGGTTTATATTTTCATTCTCAGATTTAGCCTCATTTTCTTCAACAAGTTTAACACCAGCTTCTGATTGAGCATCAGAAATTTTGTCTAGGCAGACTTGTGGGTGTTTAGCTTCAAAAACTTCATTTTTATTAGTCTTGAAATTTTTCGTTCCAGAATCTTTTTCCTGGTGACCAAAATTAAACATGGGGAAATCTTGTACGGGTTCAAAAATGTGTTTTTCTTCAAAGACCTCTTGTGGGATGTCCCACTCGAAGTTATTCAGAGACTCGACCATATACTCGTCATCAAATTGGTTTTTAGGGTCTGTCGAGAAAGGGTCGCCCCAGCCGAATTCGAATGAATTAGTTGCATTCATTTTATTATTTAAAAATGTTTTATTATATCCTCTCTTTTTCAAATATTTATTTCATAGGAGGGGTTTTGGGGTTTTGGGGTTTTGGGGTTTTGGGG